GTTTATTTCCCAACCAAATACCTATTAGATGCACTTAATTATCAAACCATTATTCCAATGTGATCACTACAATTCTACACCAAAATGATTCTGTATGAGGCAGACACAACACTACACATCTATATGCAGGCTCAGAAAAAAAATGTAAGTGGAATGGAATTGCAGAGGTAGCATTTAAACAGAACAGCTGGAGCAGATTAAACACTGCCTCTCTCCTGCTTTGTCCCTGGGGTTGAAAAACTTGCCATTTAGTCAGGAAGCACTTCTATGCTATAATGTACAATACAGAATCTTGAAATATCAGAAACAAATGACAAAAGATGACATAGAATGCATGTGGTACATGCTCAAAAATCCAGAACAAAGGTTGGTTTTTATTGGCTCTTCCATGTCTGCCATCATAATATGATTAATATAAAAGTCCAAATGTTTATTTTATAAGACTATGAGGCAGGCACAAACCTCATACTTAGAACACACCAGCATTCAGAATTAGCCTTAGAATCTGCAAAGGTGAAGGCAGCTTTTAAGCTTATAATAGATATCAAATTATCCTCCATTATTGTGTCATTTTGCACACATGACTTCATCTTTTATATAGCATATTAGAGCAAAACAATGTGATTTAACCTATTTTATATATTCCTCTTCCTTTCTGCCACATGTATTAATAGGTTATTTTTTAAAAAAAAAAAATCATAGGTTATTTTTAAAATATCATCAGGGTTAAATAAGCAATGACCTTTTTAATAAAGCTAAATACTGTGGTTGCATATAACAATAAACCCCAAACTAGCCAGCAAGGAATAATCCCATTGAGAAAAAGGCAACAATGTACAGACCCAATATGATGTCATGGGAAATGTGTTGTCTTCTAGGTGTCTGTATCCAGGATGTAGCAGAGAGGTTATTGACACTGTTCAAAGCCAATTCTTTCCTTTTGATTTCTATGCATAGAAATCACAGACCAGAAGAAAACAAACAAACAAAAAGCTGTGAGGTTTTAAACAGGAAAAAACTTAGAAGAGAGGCAGTTTAAAAAAAAAAAATCCTTCCAGATAAAAGCCATGACACTAGAAAAACCAAAATCTTGAAAGTCAACAATCAGCTATTAGTAATGCTATCTAGAAGGATCTGGATTCTATGATGAACTATGTTGCCTCCATGAAGATCTCCTGGGAAGAAATAAGCTACAACCTTTGAAGATAAGGAAACAAATATTGGCAGGTGCTTTGTCAATCTCATCAGGAGAGCACTAAACTAAAAGAAATGGAGAAGGGTGGCAAAAACCCATATCCAAATTTGTAGTCAAGGATTGGAAAGCAGAACATAAAGGGAGAAGAAGGCCAAAGTGTGGCTCAAGAGTTTGTAGAGAATTACAATACAGTTAATGGTGCTATCAAAACCTCAGATGTTGCTATACCAATAGAAAGAGTATGGGAAATGAAACTCAAGAAAACAGGTATGATATAATAGGTATCCCTAAAATTTGGTGGGATGACATTCAGCATTGCAAATATAAATTTAACAAACAGAACATGGAAATTCTATTTAAAGTGTCTGAGTATGAATTCAATGAGAGAAAAGTGATATAAACCTAGGAGTTTATAACAGACTGCCTGGATAGGTGGAAGATATGATGCAATTAGCCTGGAATCTAACTGTGCAACAAATCAGAGGTGCAACAAATTCTAGCTGATTTCATATGTCAGAAGATAGAAGAAAGAACAAGGGGGTCTGCAATTAGGGGCCTAATCCTCACCAAGAGAAATTAATTAGTTGAAGTAATAAAGGTATCCTGTAAGAAAGTGATTATGTTGAATTTGTGATGCCCAGAGGAGTCAGTGAGAAGAATCATAGTTTTACACCAGATTTCAAGAGAATTGATTCTAATTACAGGTAACCCTCGACTTACAATTGCACAATTGAGCCCAAACTTTCTATTGTTAAGTGAGACATTTGTTAAGTGAGTTCCGTCCCTTTCTTGCCACAGCTGTTAAGTGAATCACTGCAGTTGATACGTTGGTAATCCGGTTGTAAAGTGAATCTGGCTTCCCCATTGATTGTGCTTGTCAGGTCGCAAAAGATGATCACATGACCATCACCCCCGGACACAGCAATGGTCATAAATATGAACCTGTTGCCAAGCATCTGAATTTTGATCACATGATCATGGGGATGCTACAAAGGTCATAACTGTGAAAAACAGTCGTAAGTCACATTTTTCAGTGCCATTGTAACTTTAAACAGTCAGTGAATGAACTGTTGTAGGTCAAGAACACACTAATCGGCTATCCACTCACATAAACTAGGGAGTGACCCTAACATTTTGAGAACATGTATTTTCTTAACAGGGATGTTATTATTTACTATTAATGTAAATAGTACTATTTTTATTTTTATTATTATTATTATTATTTAATATATTGTAAAAAGTGATGGCTATTGCTGGTCTACGACCGTAATAAAGTTATTTGTTGTAGGTCAAGAACTACCGATCTCCAGAAATGGTAGGAACTATCAGAAAGGCTCCAGCTCAGAATATACTGAGGCTTGTGACAGCTATTATGGTAGAAACAACAAAGTGTTCTGTGGGTTGTTTAGAATCCAAAGGAAAGCCAAAAGGGGTATAAGTCCATTGTGAGGAGAAAGTAATGAATTGCATATGAGCAATAGTGAGAAAACAAAAAAATTCTTGCCACTGTCTTCTTGCAGAAAGGTTGGTCATTGTTATGCCACTGGGGGAAGAAGGGATCTGCAGCTGAAGATATAGTGGATAACTTAGCCAATTTAAACAAATTCGAGTTTTTAAGGCCACATCAATTACATTCTACCATTCTTGGTCTTCTCTGAGAACTCCTGGAGGATGGTGAAGGAAGGAGGAGTATCCAGCAAACTACAAACCTATCGGCCTAATGTCTATATTAGGCAATGTTCTTGAACAGATTAGTAAATAGCATGTTTGTGAGCACTTGGATAGATATGCTCCAATTAACAGATGCCAGAATGAATTTAGCTTTTTCTCAGATATAATTTTTGGGCTAGTAGAACTGAGGAATGCCAAAGAATCAGGTTACCAGGACTTTAGCAAGCCCTTCACAATAAAATGATAACATATGGACTAGATCAGGGGTCTCCAATCCTCGGGCTGTGGACCGCTACCGGTCTGTGGCCTGTTAGGAACCGGGCTGCACAAGTGGCAGGTCAATGAGTGAAGCTTCATATGTGCATGCACGGGACCTAGGTTGTGCATGAAACCACTATCACCCCCCAGCCAGGGAAAAATTTTTCTTCCATAAAACTGGTCCCTGGTGCCAGAAAGGTTGGGGATGCTGGACTAGATGACGCTACTGCTCAATGCATTAACAATCAACAAAATGACTGTACTCAAGAGAATGCTAATGAATAGCTCCAGCTTCAGGGGAAATTCTGAACGGAGTGGCATAGAGCTTTGTCCTGAATCCAATGTGTCAGTATCCAAGTTTATCAGTATCTTGACTGAGGGATCTGAGACAATGCTTATAAAGTCTGCAAATGACACAAAACTGTGAGGGGTGGCTAATATTTTAGATGAGCAACGGGCTGAATGAATAGGATGGTTTCTGATACGGGTTCTTTATCTCCACCTTAATTACGGTAGTATTCTTTATTTGGGTTGAATTAATTAATACTAATGTATTACTTCATAGAATTCTATTACGTAGTTCTGATCTGCACTTCCTGATAAATGGGAGGGGAGAATTGAGTTATCAATGCTCTGTTGACAATTTTGTGGGTGGAGTTAACCAACGAATCACTGCTGGAAAAGACCATCAGTATGAATGTACCAGAAGGATTTATTTTTAAAATATACAATAAATTCTGTATGGTTCTGGATTAAAAGGAAAGAAAAGGATATGCAATAGATACCCACACCATTCACAAAACTCTTCTGTGACATCAGAGCCTTGCCTCTCCCAGTGTTATAAACTGGGTAATGATGGTATTCTTGTGTGGGTTCAACTACTGGTATTATTTATTTACCGTATGGCACACAAGACCAGGAGAGCTACAATGCTACGCACTAATATACAGGGTAGTCCTCCATTTACTACCGAGCCCAACATTTATGTTGCTCAGCGAGAAATTTGTTAAGCGAGTTTTGCCCTGTTTTACAACTTTTCTTGCCACAGTTGTTAAGTGAATCACTGCAGTTGTTACAAATTAGTAACACGGTTGTTAAATGAATCTGGCTTCCCCATTGACTTTTGCTTGTCAGAAGGTTGCAAAAGGGGATCCCCATGACCCGAGGACACTGCAACCGGCATAAATGTGAGTCAGTTGCCAAGCATCCAAAGGTAAATCACGTGACCACGCAGATGCTGCATCAGTCCTTAAGTGTGAAAAAACGGTCATAAGTCGCCTTTTTTCCAATACTGTTGTAACTTCAAACGGTCATTAAGCGAACTGTTGTAAGTCGAGGACTACCTGTATACAATTCTTGTTTTTTTATATATATATTCCAGCCTAAACAGCTCCTCGGCTCAAACTTTAGCAACCCGGCTAGACAGGCAAAAAAGCTCTTTGTCCCATTCCCGTCCGGCTCCGAAGCAAGGCGTGCCAAACGCAGAATAGGTTCTCTACTGCAAACATTTCGGAGAAAATCACCTTCGCTCCGTTGCAGCCACTTCCGAGCGGCCGAGCCCTACGACGACAAACGGCAGATCCGCGAACAGACTAAGGGAAACCACAACCCTGCCCTGAACTTTCCAAGCTGCCGTCCCGGATCACGGCGTTGCAAGAGGATTTTTTTTTTTCGGGGGGGGGGGAGGCCGACGGGACGACGACCTCCTCTCACTGTTCCTAACGGAGCGTCTGCAAATGCTTCTCCGGCCGCTTAGAAGCGGCTGGAGTTGCGCCCGGGCTGCCCATCCCACGCACGCGCGGCCGCACGCGCAACTCTCGCTCGCCCTGACATCCAGGGACGTGTCGCTCGCCCCGCGGAGGCGCAGCGGACTTACCGTCGCTGCCGTACTGCTTGCCATTGTTTGCGCCCATCCTGGAGGCTTCATGCTCTCGTCCTCCTCTTTCTCCCAATAGTCACCATGTCGAAACTCCGAAGGGGGAGGGGGGAAGGTTTGGACCGGGCAGGAAAGCAGAAAGAGACAAAGGGAGTGGGAAAAGACGCAAAAAAAATAAAAAATAAAAAAAAATTAAAAGGCCACCAGTGAGGACGGTTTGGGGGGAGGAGGCTTTCTGTATCCTTTGAGATGCTCCTTTCTCTATGAGTTTCCCTCCCTCCTCGCAAAGGAAACCGGAGCAAACTTGACAAGCCAAAGCCACCGAGTCTCCCCCAAAGAACGACGCAAGCAACACAAGGACGGTAGCTCCGGTGATAATCCACGGGGAGGCTGCGGTAGCCCAAGGCGGAAAGGAAGGAATAGAAAGCGAGGCGCGCTCGTTTTCTGCAAAGCTGGCTGAGAGGAATGGCAGCGTTCTTGACCAGCGCTCCCAACTTCGTCGCGGTCTCTTCCTTCCCGCCACCCCCTGGTGGCCGATCTCGTCTGAAAGTTTTAGCAGATTTGTTCTTCTTCCCCCCACCCCAGCGCTCAAGTCCTGCGCCTCGGACTTTTTGTCACCGGGAGGCGCCTCCTCCCCACCTCAATCAGTCCTGGAAGCGGAACGCGGAGGCGCGCGGAGGCGCGCGGACGCGTGAAAAAGAAAGCGCGAGCAGACAAAGCTGCTGCAATTAGAGACAAAGGATGCTCATGTAGATTGTGCAATCTTCCAACTTTCCCTTGATTAGCAAAGTGATCCGTTCCAAGAAATGTTCTCTCTCTCTCTCTCTCTCTCTCTCCCTCTCTCTCTCCTTTTTTTTTCAAGTTGGTGAATTGATCCATGCGCTTTTCTATAAAACCCTTCTAAATTGGAAACCATGCACTCTAAAGCAGTGGTTCTCAACCTTTTTAATGCCGTGACCCCCAACCGGTCGTAAGTCAAGGACTATTCAACCGGTTGTAAGTCAAGGACTACTCAACTGGTGCAGCACTGTTTGTAGAATGGGACTTTTGGCGGGCTCAGCAGAGCAGAGACAGCCTGGACAATTCCTATTGGCTTTTGAAAGCCAATAGAATTAGATTCTATTTAAGAGAGTCTATTCTATTGGCTTTCAGAAGCCAATAGAATAAAAGGGAGTAGCACAGCTAAGGAAAAGGGGGGGGGGAAATGGCAGACTGCGTTGTTTGGTGACCCCCGTGAAATGGTTGTTGGACCCCAAATGGGGTCCCGAACCACAGGTTGAGAACCACTGCTCTATAGTTCAAACGATTCTGCATGTGCCTAGGTCCTTTAAATTGTCTCACATTTAGATTAGACATATCTCTCCCCCCCCCCCCAAAACAGCTGAAACAGCTTTCAGAATAGGGTGAGATTTTGCAAGTCCTGCAAATATCTAATGTTGTTCCCTATACGTTCCCTCTGCAACCTCTATTGCTGCTTCAGGCAGCAGTGGCCAGGGTCAAAGTGGGGCTTTAACAAGGATCTGCTGGAGCCACAGTATGATTGGTAGAAAGTGGCTGGACGTCTCAGGGGAAATCTTGTTGATACTTTGCTGATCAACAGCTCACCTGTATGGTATTTAGTTGCTGTGTCACTAAATGTGATGTGAGGGGCCCTGGTGGTGGCTGAAGTGGTTGCACTTTTGTTTGATGTCCTTTGAATCCATAAGCCAGAGAAGCCCAGGTTGTAATCCCCTCATCTGATTTATAGAATATTTTGAGTAAGGGTAGTTGGCGTAACTAGCTTTTCCAGATTGCAGGTATGTGACTTCTAATTTCCTGATAATAATTGACAGTCCTTCAACATGCAGTGTAATGGCCACTGTATTGATGCAAGTGCCACAATTATAGGTCCATACCAACCACTAAATTACACATCATTTTTCCTGGACTGGCTCTGGATGCTCATTGTTTCTTCCATGCAAGGTAGTCAGTGTTTTCTCCAGATACAAAGATCCAAGACATTTTTGGCAATAAAAAAGTAAGGCAGGTGCATATCTCTATTGCAAATGCAACTGAGATATGAGAAAGATGCTAAAATACATGGTTTCTATAAAGCCCAGACAATGTTTGATCAGGTATTGTTGACATCAGATGGAAAACTGATTAAGAAACTATAATTTTCTATTAAACCTAAAAATGAAAGGTGAACAAGTGAAAAAAACAATGATAATATAAGCAAAAAAGTTTGGGCACAATATAGAATTAGAAAAATGGAACAATCTATGGGAAAGATACTATAAATCAGTGGTTCTCAACCTTTTTAATGCCGCAACCCCAACCGGTCATAAGTTGAGGACTAAACCGGTCGTAAATCGAGGACTAAACTGGTCGTAAGTCAAGGACTACCCAACCGGTCGTAAGTTGAGGACTTTCCCTGCCTGGGAGCGCTGCGCATGCATGGTGCCACCCCCTGCACCAGCCGAGGTGTAGCTGGCAAGCAGCAGAGGCAGAGCAAGCCGACCACTGGCTGGGCCACTAGCTGGCCCAGCCCAAGGGAGGTAAGGCACCCAACGGAAAAGAGTAAAAAAAAATGGCAGACAGTCTTGTTTGGCGACCCCCGTGAAATGGTCGATCGACCCCAAATGGAGTCGCGACCCATAGGTTGAGAACCGCTGCTATAAATTGACAATGGCAACTGCTTATAAAGAAAACTTATATAAAATGTTTTATAAATGGCATCTAATACCTGCAAAGTTAGCAAAAATGTTCAAAAATATGTCTAGTAACTGTTGGAAATGTAAAAAAAAACCAGGCTGTCATATTTGGTGGACGTGCCCTAACGCAAAAAATGTTTAGATATGCCATGGAGCACAGTGAAGACGGTCATCATCAAGTGGAGAAAATAGGCCACAAGAGTGATATTACCAAGAACCGAATATCCCTCCAGAATTGATGAAGAAAACTGGTCCCATAGGCTGCCGAGAGGCCTGCTGAAAAATTAAAGGAGCTGCTGGAATTTCTGGCAAGTATTGTTTGTGTACTACATGTGACGTCAGTGTCTCATGTTCTTCATATGTCTGGACTATGGGATAGGATGGCAAGATGGAAGCCTTTTCTTACAAAGAAAACCATCCAAACCCAGCTACATTTTGCAAAAACCTACATAAAGTCTGACAAAAGCATGTGGGAAAATGTGTTATGTCTGATGAGATCAAAGTTGCATTTTTTGGTCATAGTTCCAAAAAGTATGTTTGTCCCCAAAACAGTAAAAATACACCAAACTCATAGTGAAGCATAGTGGCAGCAGAATTATGCTTTTGGGGCTGCTTTTCTTCATCTGGAACTGGGGCTTAGAGTCAAGGTGGAGGGAATTATGAACAGTTCCAAATATCAGTCAATTTTGGGACAAAACATTCAGGCCTCTGCTAAAATGTTGAAGATGAAGAGGAAACGCAACAACAACCCAAAGCTTATCTCCAAATCAACAAAAGAATGGCTTCCGCAGAATAATATCAAAGTTTTGGAGTGACCCAGCCACAGCCCAGAGCTGAAACCAATTGAAAATCTGTAGGGTATCCCAAAGAGAGCTGTGCACAGGAGACGCCCTCGCAATCTGACAGATTTGGAGCGCTTTTCCAAGGCAGGGTAGACAAAGATTCCCAAGGCAAGATTTGCCATGCTGATAGGCGCCTACCCCAAAAGACTTGAATGCTGTCATAAAATCAAAAGGTGCTTCAACAAAGTATTGGTTTAAGGGTTTGCATCTTTATGTAGCCACATTGTTCTAGATTTTTATTGTTATTTTTCCCCTAAATGATTTCAGTTTGCTTTTCAATTGAAATGTACAACTTATATGCTATATTAAAGGTGGAAAAAAGTCTTAAGTCATTTATCTTGGTCTGACTTTTTTACATCTCAGAAACCTGGCATTTTAAGAGTGGCGTATAGACTTTCTATATTCACTGTCGGAACAATTGGTCCACATGGAAAACAACTACTTTAGGCTCTATGTCGCCCTTCTGTTGAACACAATCCTCATCAAGGTTTGGCAACAGGAGTTGCTAAAACATCCTTTTGTAATCTGTCCAGATTCTGATTTCTGACTGGATATATCTGGCATGCATGCAGACCTTCCACTTGGGCTGTTGAAGCAGTGAGCACCATATTTCTACAGTATTATCTAGCCATCTAAAAGATGCATTGTACAAATTCCGTGTTATTTTTCTGTAGGTGGTCTCTTAGACAGTTCATAACAGCTATACAGAGGTTCAACAACTTCCACAGGATTGTCCAGAGGCATGCTACAATTTCTTAGAATAGAGCTGCAGTGGCAGACCTTCTATACACGAGATATTTCTGCAGAAAGTGGTAGTTATGTTCAGAGGAGGAACAATGTTGGCTGCAATTTCCTTCTGCCCATTACTGAATGATGTATCATTTCAGTTCCTGAGGGAGTGTGAGCACGTTTGGACCCTGGTTCTATCACTGAAATGCCTCAGTATCTTGTTCTTAGTGCTGCTGTTTGGGTTAATTAACTGGTCTGCAGCAGTTTATGAAACCCACTATGCTACTGCCTTCTTCAATCCATCATAGTGGATGGCAAAGCAAATAAAGATGGTGGCTAATTCATTGGCGAAACATTGTTATCCACAGTATTAATCAAACAGCCTTTCATTGCCCATACCAAGTGTAGCCAGAGTCTGCTTGACATTGTTTGCCTTCCTATCCAGCATTACAACTTGTAATTTCCCTGCTGCTCTTCCTTCATTATATTTAGAATTGAGGCTGAAGCTAGCTTTAGCTATAGTTAAGATGCTATGTGGCTGCATAGTTTTATCTAGGGTACTCAGCTGCTCTCCAGGACTATATTTTGCTTCTACTGTACAACAGGTTGCATGTGTTGTTTGCCACTGAAGACCAAATGTCTCAGAAACTCACCTTGGTGAGCGAGGGGTACACCTCGCAGTATGATCCATATACCAAGCATATTTAGTGCATTTCCCATGGGTGGGGAAGTTGATTGGCTCACCAGATTTTAAGGAATTTCTGCATTTAAGATCTTGGTGGTAGGGGATTTAGTACTACAATAGTTAGACCATACATTTTCTACCTGAGGTCCTCTAGATTCGTAGGGCACCAAATTGAGAAAGACTGAGATAAGTTTAGAATTAAGTAAACATGTTTGTTGGGAGGAAGATTATGAATTGGTGTTGTCACAGGCAGTTGTGGGATATATGCACATGACAGGAGAAAGACATTAAATTAGGCACTAGGAGACAATGGGTATGGATGAGACAAAAACGTTTGTACTGTCAAATTCTGTGATTAGTAGTGAATGCAAGTGGTGGGGGGGCAGGGCTTTCCTATTTCTGTGACAGGAGTTTGAATCATTATATTATTTTTGCAAGTCTCACCCTTTCCAGATTCATGAGGTTGGGTCTTTCAGCTTATAAAGTGACCATGGGTCAGGACATCAATTGGCAAGCCCCATACCATCTGGTTTTCTTGTGAAGGGTGGGGCTTGTCCATTGGTGACATATTAAGAGTTCTTCCCTTTACAGGGCAAGGCCTCTAGCTATACCATAGACAGAAATCTATGCCCCCCCCCCAGTT